AAATCATGGGATGGGGACCTCTATTTATACTAATAAGTGGAGAGAATAAGGTGGGCTCGTTGGGCTTCCATCCTCTGGGCCGAGCTCGTCGGGCTTCTGCCTGCTAGGCTTCTCCGGAAATGGGCTTTTAAAATGACTATTGTTGAAACCCATGCCCAACACGAGGCAAGAAACAAAATCAATACGGTAGAACTATAAAGAGTAGGAGAAGAATATCCATCGGAAGAAAAAGTTGAAAGAAAAAAGAAATGAATTTACGTCTTTATCTAAGCGAGTTGGAAGAAGGATTCGAGTTTGAGAAAGCAGTGTGTAACCATGGGTTCTTCATGATGGCTCCAAACGTGTGGAACCCGATAAGAAAGACATTAAGTCGACCGTTAACCCTTGCGAATTCCTCTTCGGTCATGGTGACCATTTCTCATCCTCCCATTCACCCTTTTATTATAATCGATGTACACGGCATCAACAATGTCAGGGAAGCCGATGAAAAACTCATCTTCCAACAAGTGAGGAGGATGCTGAGATTCACGTCCAAGGAGGAACGTGACGTGACCAAGTTTCATCAACTCCACGAGGCCGCAAAGGAGAGTGGTTTCGGTCGAATTTTCCGCTCTCCATCTCTCTTTGAGGATATGGTCAAATCTATTTTGTTGTGTAATTCTACTTGGGAGAGGACACTACTTATGGCCTCTCGCCTCTACGCAATGCAGTCAATGCTAGCCGACCGTAAAACTAGGTCTAAAAAGAGGAAACGGGACCAGGAACCTAAGAAAGAAGCATGTGGAAACTTTCCAAGTGCTAAGGAAATAGCTAGCCTTGACAAAGAGTTCATCAATGAGCACTGTAAACTTGGATATAGAGCAAAGTGGATAATTGAATTGGCCACGAAGGTTGAACGCAAATCATTGAATCTTGAAGAGATGGAAAAGGGAGAGATGGAACCGGAACAGGTGATTGGGCAACTGAGTAAGTTAAAGGGCTTTGGTGTTTTTTCAACTGTGACGGTGCTTATGTGTATTGGGTATTACCACCTTGTTCCATCCGATACCGAGACCCTAAGACTCTTACGAGAGG